TTTGTGGTAGGCTTTATACCATTGGTACCCTTTACCAATTTTTCTCTCAACCGTTTATAATAACTCAAATGTTCCTCAAGGTGTTTTATATGTGCATCTACTTCAGTTGTATGGTATTCTGGAACTGGAAATAAAAGATTAGGCAAGATTGCATGAAGGAAGCAGAATCTCAAGTGAACTTATATTCCCTTGCTGGTATGAATTCTCCCCTCATCTTTCTATCCATTATATTTATGATATGACGAGACTCTTCTAGTAATAATCAATACCTAATACCCAAAGAGTGGATTTGTAAATCAACACACCTGCAGTTGTATGAATCTGCACACATATATCCATTTGCCTGTCATATTCACCAAAGCAAAATGTATTTCACCATACGAAACTATTGCGCAGTATGAAATAAATTTCTAAAATGCTCAGTTTATTATATACAGCTGTCGTACACATTTTAACAAAAAATCAATATGTTATTTTATATTTTATTTACAGTTGTTCAAAATAGAACACAATGTAATTTTCTGCACAAAATCAACATACATCCCTATTAAATTATAATCATTAAAGCTATGGTCTCCCATTTGAAAGAATATGTTTTTTCTCTCGAGTACTTTGCCAAACGGAAATAAGTGATGGGAGTCTGGAATTCTATTAAAGACATGTTTAATGAATTGATAATAATAAAGTTGTGTTCGCCTGGTAGCGAAGTGGAGTAGTGCTTATAGATTCACAGCAACTACGGAGCGAAGTGGATTAACACGAAATGAAGCGGAGTAGTTGGTGTAAATCTGTAAGTACTGAAGTATGTGTAGTTTATTTTTCTATGTGTTGTATATATTTGTAGGTGTACTTTATATTTGTGTATATATTGTTTTTAGATATGTGTAGTTTATATTTGTATGTGTAGTTTATATTTGTATGTGTTGTTTATATTTGTACGTATTGTTAATATTTGTATGTATTGTTTATATTTATATGTGTACTTTATATTTGTATGTGTACTTTGTATTTGTTTGTGTACTTTATATTTACGTGTATATTATTTGTATGTGTAGTTTATATTTGTATGTGTTGTTTATATTTGCATGTGTAGTTTATATTTGTATGTGTTGTTTATATTTATATGTGTATTTTATATTTGTATGTGTACTTTATATTTGTATGTGTACTTTATATTTGTATGCATATTGTTTTTAAATATGTGTAGTTTTATTTGTATGTGTAGTTTGTATTTGTATGTGTTGTTTATATTTGTATGTGTAGTCTATTTTTGTACGTGTTGTTTATGTTTGTATATATATTGTTTGTAAGTATGTGCAGGGTATTTTTGTATATGTTGTTTATATTTGTATGTGTAGTTTATTTTTGTATGTATATTGTGTGTTAGTATTGTAGGGTATTTTCGTATGTGTTGTTTATATTTGTATGTATATTATTTGTAAGTATGTGTAGTTTATATTTGTATGTGTAGTTTATTTTTGTATATATATTGTTTGTAAGTATGTGTTGTTTATCTTTGTATGTGTAGTTTATATTTGTATGTATATTGTTTGTAAGTATGTGTAGTTTATATTTGTATGTGTAGTTTATATTTGTATGTGCAGTATATTTGTATGTGCATTAATTTGTATGTATATTGTTTGTAAGTATGTGTTGTTTATATTTATATGTGTAGTTTATATTTATATGTGTAGTTTATATTTGTATGTATATTGTTTGTAAGTATGTGTTGTTTATATTTATATGTGTAGTTTATATTTATATGCGTAGTTTATATGTATAGGTGTTGTTTATATTTGTATGTATATTGTGTATATTTATATGTGTAGTTTATATTTGTATGTATATTATTTGTAAGTATGTGTAGTTTATATTTGTATGTGTAGTTTATATTTGTATGTGTATTGTTTGTAAGTATGTGTAATTTATATTTATATGTGTAGTAATCTATATTTGTATGTAAGAATGTGTAGTTTATTTGTGTATGTGCAGTATAGAATAATATCCGTAAGATGTGTGGTTTTCTTGTCATAAAGAGTAATATTGTTATCATTGACTATTCAGCTAGTTCCAAACAGGATGGTTGTTGAAGATTTGATGTTAAAATTGGAAGTTTGGTAAACGTTTGACTACATTTTCAAACACTTGGTTGTTGGTGCCTTCGCCTTCTCCTCCCTTTATACTCTATCTGTTGGGTGGAATTATCATTTCATTTCCATTTTAATCTCTATATCATATTGTTATGAAACACGTTTTATACGGATATTTTATCCGATCTTCATTAGAAATTAACAAAAGCTTCCTATTAGATTATTGATAGTATAACATTCTAATCAACATGATAATCATTCTATCGGCTTAGGTCGGCTAATTTGATTTGAGTTTTGTGGGATATATATTATATTATCAGTCTAAACGAAGCACTCTAAACGAAAAGTGAATTGATAAATCCTTCAAAGCCTGATATATTTTGTTTTTTCAATATTAATTCTTTGAAAATCCACCAATTCTAATTTTTTTTATTAATTTTGAACGCGGACCTGATAGAAAGCAAACGATTAGCTATACTTTTGTATATTGATTAATTCTGATAAATTAATGTCACTCAACTGCGGTCATTAAAATCATGAAAATGAATAGAACGAAGTCCCCCAAGACTGTCATCAATACTCACTGGAATTCAGACATAATCACGCCGAGATTGAATTCAAAGAGCATGGTGCCCTCATCAATTACTGTTAATGGACCACAGATTGATTAGTTATGCCATGGTTGAGAGTGGTTGTTATCGATAATTTATAGTCATAGAGTAATTATCGACTTGATTTCATACTATTTACACTGGACTCTCGGAAGCACTGATAGAGGCATCGGGAATTTTCTGGAAGAGAATTAGAACCCACGGAAACTCACTGCCTAACAGACGACAAAACAACTTGCTATCCACTGAGCTACGGTTGGAGCCGACACCGGGCCGACCATACCAAGCAATAGGGTAAGGTATCAGGGAGGAAAAAATTTAATAAAATAACCAGTCCTTCATTAATTAAATAGAAAAAAGGACGAAAAGAAATTTGACCACAATGAGAGATAGGTACGGTAAACAATGAGAGCTAGGTACGGTAAACAATGAGAGCTAGGTACGGTAAACAATGACAGCTAGGTATAGTAAACAATGAGAGCTAGGTATAGTAAACAATGAGAGCTAGGTATGGTAAATAATGAGAGCTAGGTATGGTAAACAATGAGAGCTAGGTATCATAAATAATGAGAGCTAGGTATAATAAATAATGAGAGCTAGGTATAGTAAACAATGAGAGCTAGGTATGGTAAATAATGAGAGCTAGGTATGGTCAATAATAATGAGAGCTAGGTATGGTAAATAATGAGAGCTGGGTATGATAAATAATGAGAGCTAGGTACAGTAAACAATGAGAGCTAGGTATGGTAAATAATGAGAGCTAGGTATGATAAATAATGAGAGCTAGGTATGGTAAATAATGAGAGCTAGGTATGGTAAATAATGAGAGCTAGGTATGGTAAATAATGAGAGCTAGGTATGGTAAACAATGAGAGCTAGGTATGGTAAATAATGAGGGCTAGCTATGGTAAATAATGAGAGCTAGGTATGATAAATAATGAGAGCTGGGTATGATAAATAATGAGAGCTAGATATGATAAATAATGAGAGCTGGATATAGTAAATAATGAGAGCTAGGTATGATAAATAATGAGAGCTAGATGTGGTAAATAATGAGAGCTAGGTATGGTAAATAATGAGAGCTAGGAATGGTAAATAATGAGAGCTGGGTATGGTAAATAATGAGAGCTGGGTATGATAAATAATGAGAGCTATGTATGATAAATAATGAGAGCTAGATGTGGTAAATAATGAGAGCTAGGTATGATAAATAATGAGAGCTAGGTATCATAAATAATGGGAGCTAAGTATGATAAATAATGAGAGCTGGGTATAGTAAATAATGAGAGCTAGGTATGATAAATAATGAGAGCTAGATGTGGTAAATAATGAGAGCTAGGTATGGTAAATAATGAGAGCTAGGTATGATACATAATGAGAGCTAGGTATGATAAATAATGAGGGCTAGATATGATAAATAATGAGAGCTAGCTATGGTAAATAATGAGAGCTAGGTATGGTAAACAATGAGGGCTAGGTATGGTAAATAATGAGAGCTAGATATGGTAAATAATGAGAGCTAGCTATGATAAATAATGAGAGCTAGGTATGGTAAATAATGAGGGCTAGCTATGGTAAATAATGAGAGCTAGGTATGGTAAACAATGAGGGCTAGGTATGGTAAATAATGAGAGCTAGATATGGTAAATAATGAGAGCTAGCTATGATAAATAATGAGAGCTAGGTATGGTAAATAATGAGAGCTGGGTATAGTAAACATTGTGGTACTAGCGGATAGGTAATGACTCTTTCAGTGATTAGTTTAATTGCAGTATGATAATAACAGCGAATGGTATATTTATGAATCACAGTTATAACTCATTATTGATTTAACCTCAAATAGCTGCATTAAGCCTATGTTAAATAGTTTGGTTTAGTCGCCAGTGTTGATACAGGCCTCTGGGAAGCGTCGACAGTTCACTTTTCTTTGGTTTAGGCTGGGTAGTCATTTCTAACACATTTCGGGTTTTTTTTTCTTTTGTATTGCGGACCCGATGGTAAACATGTAGCCAGATAAGTCTTCAATAATGACACGGTCCTTTAATAAGCGTGCGATAATTTCTTCTGTTTTGGTGAAGGCTTGGTAGCAATTTCTAACACTAATTGTGAGCACGTTCTTAAGTCAGCAATTTTCAAACCGATCTGATGAAACAACTACGCGGTAATATTCGGTGATTTTTGGATATTAATTTTGAACGCGGACCTGATAGTAAGCATGAGATCAGCAACGTTTGTGTTACTATTTAGCTGTTATGGATTGATGTCAGTAAACTGTGTGTCATGGGAAACGACGAAATCTTTAAAAGAACATTTACTGGGTAATTATTCTAAAGATATTCGCCCAATTCGGAATCAAAGTGATCCGCTGTTAGTAGAGTGTAACATTCACCTTACGGATATTGTCGACTTGGACGAGGTCCGTCAAATTTTGTCTGTGATTATAATTTTTAGTCTCCGATGGAAAGACGAGTTTTTAGTTTGGAATCCGGACAAGTATGAAGGGCTATCCTTCATTCAGATGGATCAAGAAAAGATTTGGATACCATGGATAAATTTGTACAGTACACTTGACGATGCGGACTTATTTGGGGATGTACGATACAGATTAACTGCTCGTCAGAATGGACAAATGACATGGACTCTATCTAAGAAGATAACTGTAGCCTGTTTAATGAATGTAGTTCTTTTCCCATTCGATACCCAACGTTGCACATTAGCGTTTACGCCGTTACTGTACAATACGGAGCAAGTGAAATTGGTGCACGTTGAACAGTCCGTTAACACATCTACACTAAAATCGCATGGCGAGTGGGTATTTAGGGCCAGTAATTATACCACTCTGGATTACAAATTGGATGATTTCAATATGTCTGTTTTATACGTGAGATTGGAATTCAAACGCCTCACTTTGTTCTTTGTTCAAAACTTTTTAGTTCCAATCATCATTATATCGTTTCTCAACTTGTTAACCTTCTGGTTGCCGGACGGCTCCGGAGAAAAGGCTTCTTTCTCCATCACCGTACTTCTAGCCTTGACTTTCTATCTAACAAGTGTGAGCAGCTATCTGCCTCAAAATTCGAACGAACCAATCCTTCTGACACTGTACATAAGTCTCTTATTGACGCTGAGTTGTTTAACTGTTCTTGTGTCTCTTATATTAATCAATCGTCACCATAATCAAGATGTACCACAATCAACCGAAAACAACCATAATGCCCCAATGAAAGGAAAAAAGAAATATAATGGAAAATTGGCCAAACTTTGTGGGATTCTGATATGTAAAAACTTGCGTAAAAGTGGCTTCAGTATTGATGTTTTTCTGTTTTTTGTATTTTTTATCACCTGGATATTCCTGAATTTGTGGTTTTTCGTCAGACTTTTTCAGTTGCAGTGAACTAACGAGTAGTGAGAAGGTATTACGAACTAATACCTTGTCACATGAGACAATTTTCTTGTATCATGGAAGTTTGTCGTACTTTGATAAAAAATAAATATAGCTGCACTTGTTACGAGCTGTAATTGGCTGGATACAGAGGTAAATAATGATTTGTTAAGTTTTTGTTTGGACTACCGGAGATTGAATTCCAAAAAAAACACCATAATACAAATAGCCCTTCACAGGATTAAAAACTTTCGGATGTCGAATATGTCGGTAACGATTTCAATTCTTTAGATCTCGGAAGTGGATATTGGCAACTCTCACCATTTCTTAGAATTATTGTACTTTAATCAATTGGGAATCATCTAATAATAACATGCCAATAATAATGATGCCTTTATAAATAATTCACAAGATCTGCCTGGAAATGTTTACAGTTGTACAACATGTATCCAATAAAACCCATTGGTGCAGATCGTTTCCCTTTTCTTAAGTTTTTGTACCGACTATAAGGGAATGAATTCTAAAACAAACATCGGGATTAGAGAAACCACATGTTTGTTATAATTTGGTAAACATTTTAATTCTTTGGATCTAACAAATGGCTTCTGGCATTATTTATTATTCTTTTTATTTGAATTTGTTTATCAAATTATGTAGTTAACTACCTAGAAATAATAAAACACAACCTAAAAACCATGTTGTTGTTACTCAGAGTTTCACGCTCTGCGATCTTTAGACAACTGACCTATTTCAGTCTGTGTCTATATGACACTACAATTGATGTATTCAAGTCTATTATAACAGTGAGAATTTTTGTTATAGTTTACTACCTATGCTTGCCTCAAAATGATCGCTCTAGTTCAATCATTTGGGAATGGTCTCTTAACTACGTTTTCGTTTCAAACGAGATAATATATGCAAAAGGTTATTTCATTTTACATTAATGTTGATATCTATTGAAGCATACAGAGTAATAGCCTCTATGTCCCAGTCCCTCTTTGTCTACGTACAGCTTCTACAAAACCATATATAGACAGGTATAGTTTGGGAGTCAGAGACTATCAGACTAGACATGCGTATGCGTCTATAAAAATTGATTTGCATCGATAATTCCCAGACTTTGTTGTTTATTTGCTTAACTCCCCTGGGTGAGAAAATTTAAACAGGATAATATTAGAGTTATAATGGTTTGTTTTTTGATAATGAAGCTAACAATGGAATTACCTATCAATGTACAACATAAAGCCTTGTTAGTCCGAGATACAGTTTAATAAAGTAATCATATTATTTCTTAAAATTAAACAAATTAGTAAACAGTTTCCTTTCTCCAATCAAACTGTATTTCTTGTAAATCAAGATCAGTTGACGGTTGACATGGTGTATTTCAGAAGATTGGAGACTAAAAAATAATGAATTAATGTATATTGACTTTTAACTTTTATGTTGTTCGAATAATTACGTATCGATTAGATGTTATTTTAAACGAACTTTCATCATCTCCCACTGAGATTTGTATCGTATTAAATCCGGTTTATATTGTTAGGAATTCATTTGATAACTATGTTTTTAATATACATGTACAATGTAGTAATATCCGTATTGTATATACAAATCCTTATCAATATAGATAACTAAAATCAAGGCTGAAATTGCATATTATACAGAGAAATGATTTAATATTAATGGTTCATGTTATTGTAATGTTAAATTCTTTAATTCCCTGAAAAGGATTTTGGTGGTTTTGGAACAAGAACAATGTGAACCAACCTAGTAAGCTGCAGTGGAGTTCCTTAGAATCATTAGATGGGGGATCAAAGTGTAAAACAGGCACTTACCTACTACTATGGTTAACTTTGTCTGAAATCAGACTTCCAAGTATGCCTTATAATATCCTACCCTGGCTCTCAGCAACTAATGTTAAGCATTCCCTTGGCGATTAGAACCAATGCTAATAAGATGGGGGACCGAGTAGGGACCACAGAATTATCAATGGGCTCGGCTCTCATCACAAGGTATTTGCTTACTATAACTATGGGTAACTTACCAAGTATGCCTTATAATATCACCGTGGTGTCTGCCCCTCATTAAGCATTCCCTTGAGCGTCTGCTTATACTACTCTGACTGTGGTATTATCGTGAAAAGGGTTATTTCAACAAGTGTTAGTCAACAAGTGTGTATATTCTTCAGTTGGACATACCAGGTGCCATATATAAGACGATATGTCCATTGAACTAAATAATTATTAAAACACGCCTCTGAGCAGTGTCAAAATTACTTAGTTTGATGGATTTATTTGATTATAGAGGAATTCTTTTGTATAGTTATGACAATAAGTAAGTCCACTGATGAATAATATCTCATTTTGACCAAGTTTAAAACTTTCAATTTTTAGGTCATCCTAAGGGGTAGTATATCTTTAAGATCACGACACACAAAGAGACATTTCGAGAACGAATAAAGATAATTTAATGTGAACTCTACAAAATCAATCTGAGATTTTATACAAAAATATATCAACATGATGTAATGGTGATTTACAAAAAACGTACCAAACTTTCGTTCTATATTTTTCAGGGATCTCAGTGGGTAATAAAAATATTGAGGAAATCGAAAATATCAGCTGAGGGTAAAAGGGGGTCGCAGCAGGCTCCCATGTGGGGTACAGGGGTAGAATTATATTATTTTAAGATGCTATGGGAGCCGTTTCCAAATTAGAAATATTTTCATCCCTCAGAGTGGTTTTATTTGAAAATAACAAAAAATACCACTGACCAAAAATAAAAATTTGAGATCCCTGATTTTAATAGCTTTTTATTTTTACTAAACCACCTCAGTTCAAGTCTAACAGCTTCTCAATATACCCTTCATTCTGATTTATAATACCACCAGTCAATAATATCTCTTCCCTCGCCAGTACTGGGATTATATGACATGAGCAAAAGGTGTATTCAGAAGAAAATTAGACCTGGAGAGAGTAGAGTTTTGATTACTAAGGAGATAAAGCAGAATGAAAGTTATATAGAAGTTGTAAACCTAATGTTAATGAAATGACAGAACGAAAGTTTGGTCTTGTTTTAATAAGACTGACTTAATGGTTATGTACAAATTGGTTACATTCAATGGTGATATAGGTAGAACGAAAAAGTTATGACTTAAATGGGGAGATTGACGAGAAAATCGTCAAGTGTTTTTTTTATTTAAATATTTTCTGAATAAGATATATATGGTTATCTGTTGAACCAAAAGTTGGGACCAAGAGCATTATTTATCAATATAAATATAATCAAATTTCTTCAAATGAAAGTGACAAATCATTCTATTCAAATAAAAGTTTTCCTAAGAGGGGAATCTTGCTGCCTATCTATTTGACCGGAAATCCCATTTCAAAAACAACGTGGCCTGTACATATTTGTCAGGTGAAGTCAGTCATCTTTTATATTTTTGAAGATATTTAACAAAGTAAGCAGTGAGCTATGATTTCTATGAACATTAATGATTTCATTTGTCCTTTAAATCTCTATGACAACAAATGAATGAAATTCAGCTTCCTTTAAAATCTAAAAAAGAACTAATTTGATATTTGGCCATATTGATTCCAGAACGAGGTAACGTGATCTCACTGCATACAATCTGCAAGTTGATATCTTTAAAGCTTTCTTCTCCTATCAAACTGACTCAAAACTAATCATATTTTATCTCATTAAAATCAGAATTGATTAAGCTATTTAATGAAGTTTCTGAGAAGGGACAGTTTTTCCTTTGTTAAGTGACGTCACATCCGGTAATGTCATATGACGTTGCCATCTTTTCAATGCATTATGCACTCCTGTCTTACAAAACACGACGCATGAATAAGGTGTATTGTACAAGAAAGGTTTAAAGTTATGCTTAAAGTACTAGAGTGATTTTACAATAACTTACAAAGAGATTATTTCAACGAACTTCCTCTATATCAATAAGCTGACATCATATTCACCTGTTAGATGTGTGCTGTCTTTCACCCACATGCTAAATTTCTCTCAGACTCTCTCCTAGGCAGAGATACTGCTTACGATAGTAGCCTCCCACAACAAGTCCATAAACTTCACTGGTACTTGACAATGTCGCTTGAGAGATTAGTCTTGCATATCAAGTCTGTAATATTAGTTGACAATACTGCTTTAGAATCAGGCTGGTTGTTGACGCATGGTCCTCCGCGAACGTCTCAAATTACGCTTCTTAGATTTAGATTTCTGAGGGGTGTCATCAATTATCACAATATCTGCATTTTTGGCTGTTGCCTTCACTCCCTCAGATTTTTTGTCTATCACATCTATGCAGTCATTATCATCCATGTCTAAATCTTCTGGAGTATCGTTCGGATTCACATCATCACCGTCAAATTTAAACACTAACTTAGAAATATCCAATTGTTTTTCTGCAGCATATTTTTCCAACAAGTTTCTAATGGGTTCTGTCTATAATGAAAAAAAATTTCAAAATCTTTCGTAAGCTGGGGGTTGGGTAGAGACCATGAATGTATATTGCGATGTCATCATCACATTATCGAATATTTAGAATTTTAAATATAAATTTTAATTGGATAAAGCACCATTTATCAAATATGACAATGTATTGGTATTCTAAATGAGGTAATATATCACTAACTATAGAAATTCGTTAACCTGCATATTGTCAAGCCTTTTTTGAATTTTGGAAAATATTTTTAAAAAATACTGATTCGACAGCATTGGCATTTAGCAACTCTGCTTATTCTAACTGTCAAGGGATCCTTATGATACACAGCCTTATAGCTTAATTGTTCCATTAGAGCAAAAAGATGTTTTTCACATGAGAACTCCTCAAGATCCAGGGGAGGAAAGTTTGGCTTATTTCAACCACTTGTAGCTAAAGGTCTAAACCCTCAAATTCCAGAAGAAATTCCCATACTCCTTGGTTATATACCTACCTTGTCTACTGTTATATCAACCTTAGAATTCCTAACTTGGCTTTGCACACACAATACTATAGCATTTCTAACATTATAGTCTGTTTGTAGATTCTGTCCATCTGATACATTCTCTGAGGTATTCTCATTGATATGACAATCTGAAACCGAGTATAGATTGGATAATAAGATTGAAATTAGCAATTGACCTGAAAGTAAGCATTTCTGAAATGTATCACCATGCAAATGATACATTGTCATTCATCAGTGAATTGTCATAGCATATTTGTATTTACTTATTTGTACAGCTGTAATTTTATAGTATTAGGTGTATTGTTACAATCTATATCTACCTATGATATCTGTTAGCTGTAATTTTATAGTATTAGGTGTATTGTTACAATCTATATTTACCTATGATATCTGTTAGCTGTAATTTTATAGTATTAGGTGTATTGTTACAATCTATATTTACCTATGATATCTGTTAGTTGTAATTTTATAGTATTAGGTGTATTGTTACAATCTATATTTACCTATGATATCTGTTAGCTGTAATTTTATAGTATTAGGTGTATTGTTACAATCTATATTTACCTATGATATCTGTTAGCTGTAATTTTATAGTATTAGGTGTATTGTTACAATCTATATCTACCTATGATATCTGTTAGCTGTAATTTTATAGTATTAGGTGTATTGTTACAATCTATATTTACCTATGATATCTGTTAGCTGTAATTTTATAGTATTAGGTGTATTGTTACAATCTATATTTACCTATGATATCTGTTAGCTGTAATTTTATAGTATTAGGTGTATTGTTACAATCTATATTTACCTATGATATCTGTTAGCTGTAATTTTATAGTATAAGGTGTATTGTTACAATCTATATTTACCTATGATATCTGTTAGCTGTAATTTTATAGTATTAGGTGTATTGTTACAATCTATATTTACCTATGATATCTGTTAGCTGTAATTTTATAGTATTAGGTGTATTGTTACAATCTATATTTACCTATGATATCTGTTAGCTGTAATTTTATAGTATTAGGTGTATCATTACAATCTATATTTACCTATGATATCTGTTAGCTGTAATTTTATAGTATAAGGTGTATTGTTACAATCTATATTTACCTATGATATCTGTTAGCTGTAATTTTATAGTATTAGGTGTATTGTTACAATCTATATTTACCTATGATATCTGTTAGCTGTAATTTTATAGTATTAGGTGTATTGTTACAATCTATATTTACCTATGATATCTGTTAGCTGTAACTTTATAGTATTAGGTGTATGTTACAATCT